GCCCCTCCTCCCGCCAGGCCACACGGTAAGTGGTCCTAGAAGGCAGAACCGGGTCAGGCAGGACTCTGGGTGCCCATCCTGGGCTTGCTTGTTGGGGTCCCTTTGACACCAGTCACCTGTAGGTGCTGCACACGCGCATCCCAGCACACAGCGTCAGGTAGGGCTTGTATATGGGCCGACTGTAGGACTCGTTGTAGCGGAGCGGAACCACCAGCGTCTGGTTGGAGCAGACCCCCACACTGCAGGCGCGCGCGGGGGGGGGGGGACACTGAGTGTGACACACCCTCAGCAGCTGGAGTCCCCCCACGCAGCTGCTGAACCAGGCTCCGTGGCCTCTCGCCTCTTGCCCTCATTCTAAACTTTCCATCTCGTTTTGCCTCCTGTCAAACCTGGCCCCCAGCAAAGACCTCACCCTGGCCCAACCGCACTTGCTGTGGTCACCTTTGTTTGAAAGATCCTCTTTTGCGCCCCTCGCCTGACATCAGTAGCAGGAGGAATGAAAGTCCAATTAGGAAGACGCACAGCTCAGCCCTGAGCCCCATGGTTCTTCCAGACGCTGTGGGCTACAGACAAGTAGTTACTGGAGGCTCTTCACTTCTGTCTGCCTTCTCTAGCCTCAACCCTCCCAAAACAGTCTCCTAAATGACAGCCACTCACCTGGCCCATAGCCAGAGGCCTGTACATTTAATCGGACACGGCCTGCCATTAGGAAATCATCTATCTGTCCAGCAGGCTCACTCTACCCCAGAGCTCATGGCCAGCCCTCCCACACAACCCTTTGTGTGCTCCCTTGGAGCTTTGCCTTCAAAACTGCACACAGCCTGCACCTTACACACAAACCCAAGCATATCAAACGCATCCCTGCCACCACCATTCTCCCACACCGACACGAATGCCCCAGACACATCCTTCACGCAGGAACCCTCCCTCCCAGCTCATACCCACCCTACGGTCACGCAGCCCCAATCCTTCACACCACTGACTTCCTTTCCCCTTGTGCCATCCTCCCCACCTGTTTTCCCGTCCAGGGGAGACTGTAGCCCCAGCACCAGCCGCTCGGCTCACACTGGTGGGTGGGCCTCTCCGGCTTGGAAGAGGCAAAGGGGCCGGGCCAGAGAGCAGCCTCCTATCCCTGCCCCCTCCCACAAGACGCCCAGTCTCAGGCCCCTCTCTTCAGCCCAGAGCTGCTTAGAAGGACCTACAAAACCTTTGAAGGCCCTCAAATCAGAAGTTCCTGGTTCTAATAGCAACCAGCACCCCACCCCCATTCAAACTAACAGTCTGTGGGAGAATGTGAGGGCGGGGAGAGGGCCAAGCAGGCAAGATCAGCTGAGGAAAGACAGCAGTCACAGACTGGCAGGGGTGCCCAGGGCACCAGGGGAAAATGGCCTCCATCCCTTGATGGCATTTATTGGGGGCTGGGGGACACCACCCCCAAGCCAGAACAGACAGGGCTTCATTGTCTCAGTCCAAATTCCTCCTCCCAGGCAAAGGGAGACTCACTGTACAGCCCCTCACCCAGCCCTGGCCTACAAAGGTCAAGGGGCGTGACACATGCCCACCCTGACCCTCAGCCCCCTTGTCTGGGCCGGGGGTGGTCAGCCTATTCTGCCCATGACGCCAAGGCCCAAACCGCTAGAGCCTGGGGCTCAGCCCCCTAACCCCAGGCTGGGACAGGAAGAGAATTGTCTCCAGCAGGAAAGAACCCACAGAGAGTCAGGAACCTAAACAGAATGGGCATTGAGAGGACGGAAGCACCAAAGGGTCCCCACCCCACCCCAGGCATCTGCACACCCAGGCCCCAGGCTTTCTATCCCCACCCTCTTAAAAGGAGGAGCCCAGGTCCCCGTCACCTGGGAATAAGCCAAGCCATCCTGAGGAAATGGAACTTTATTTCTATAAATACAGGGAGCACCCAGTCAAGGGTCCTTAAAAGAGGGGCTGGGACCTCAAAGAACCTAGGCTCCCAGGGGACACCCCAATACTGATCATAGGGACTGGGGGATCCCCAAACCTGAGATGGGCCTTGCAGGCCACAGATATTCCCCAACACTGACACTTCAAAAGTGGAGCTGTCCCCATAGGGGGACCTCAGAACCCCTCCTATGGGTGTCCCTCCTAGTGGGAAGGCCGGCGACAGGAAGTTGAGAAAAAGGGACAACAGAAGCTAAAAATGTCCTGAGTGGCCTGGAAAGAGACCCCTGTGGCGGGCAGGGGCTGGGTTCTCCTCCGGTACAGCCAGATCCGGAGCAGCAGCAGCAGCGGCAGCGGTGAAGCCAGTTAAAAACCTGGTGCTCGCTTCCCAACCTCAGCCGTGGGAGAAAGGGAGAGCATCCCCAAGTGAGGACATGAGGTAGGGACCAGGACCTGTCATTCACAGAGGGGCAGAGGGGAGGAGGATTCAGGGCGCCCTGGTGGGGTGGGGCAGTGTGGGAGCGATGAGGTGGTCACAGGCTTGCCAGAGTCTGGCATCTGCTTCCCAAGGCCACCACTTGGTCTCTGGGCTGGGGAACTCCTGAGGACATCTTCAGGAGAGCCATGGTTCAATGCAAGTGTCATAGAGCGTGCGATTGGAGTGCCAGGTAGTGTGAGAGATCCCAGCCACTGGACACCTCACTATGGCTCCCCGGGCCAAGAGAGTCTTCAACCCAAAGGAGTCTCGCAGATAAACCTTCAAGGTGGAGAAGGGGCGTAGAAACACGGGTTAAAAAAGAGACAAAGTAAGGTACTGCTGCTGTACAACCCCCCACCCCCACCTCCGCCACCCTGGCCCCATTAGGCAGACCCTTCAGCTCAGGGGTCAGAGGCAGAAAGAGTCCAGATGATCCAATAGACTTGCATACTTACCGGCTGCTCCTCCATCTCCAACACCGTCTCGTTGGCATCATAGAAACCGAAAAAGCTACAAAGAGATTTTGTAGGAGGATATCAGGAGAGCCAGGAAAACTAATGCTAGTGTCCTAGAGACTCAAAGCCCGCAGGGGAGGCGGCAGCACGGAGGACTCTCAAAATCTTTAAGAGGAGCTGGGCACAGTGACACACTTGAGAGGGGAAGGCAGAGACCCTACCTCAAACAACAACAACAACAACAACAACAACTAACAACAGCTCCTGATTTAAAGAACTTAAGTGCTGGAGTTACTTCAGCAGTTAAGAGCACCGGCTGCTTTCCCAGAGGGCTCTGGTTCAATTCCCAGAACAACACAGTGTTTCACAGGCGTTTGTGACCCCACTTCCAGGCAGTCCGTGCCGTCTTATTGCCTCTCTGGACGTCAGGCCCACATGTGGTACATACATGTCCATACAGGCAAACCATTCATACACATAAATCCAATTTTTTTTAAAGTTTGGGGGCTGGAGAGATGGCTCGGCAGGTAAGAAAGAGCTCCTACATGCACATGGAGACACACCTATACATGGTTCAAGAACCAAGTATGGAGGCATGTCTGCAACCTCAGCACTCAAGGGGCAAGAGGATCTCAGCGAGTTCAAGGAAGGCCAGCCTGGTCTACACAGAGAAACCCTGTCTCAAAATCCAAACAAGCTGGGCGTTGGTGGCACACGCCTTTAATCCCAGCACTGGGGGGGTGGGGGGCAGAGGCAGATGGATCACTGTGAGTTCGAGGCCAGCCTGGTCTACAGAGCGAGTGCCAGGCTCCAACGCCACAGAGAAACCCTGTCTCGAAAACCCAAAAACCAAACACAGAAAAACATGCCTACCATAGATACTAGATGTAACACTCAACACTGCAAATAAGCCAATCAGTTGTTTGTGTGCAGGGTCTCAGGGTGAACCCTGTGGTGATGTTGGTCCTCCTGCCTCTTCCTTGTGAGTGCAGAGAGGACAGGCATGTGGTACCATGTTCAGCTTAATATTTATTTATTTTGGTTTTTTGAGGTAGCTTCATTCTTTTTTAAAATCTTTTACTTAATTTTTTTTTTTGAGGCAGCTCCTCATTATGTAGCCTGGAACTCGGAGATCTACCTGCGTCTGACCCTTCGGGTGCTAGGATTAAAGGCGTGCACAACCCCGCCCAGCTAAAATAATTTATTCAGCGGGGACAACCTTATGGATTCACTCCTCCCACTCCTGCATAGTTTCCAGGGATTGAGCGTGTGAGTGGCCAGGCACCTTGACAGACTTAAGGCAACTTTTTTTTTTTTTTTTTTAAATTAAAGAATATTGCTCAAGACGATCTCTGAGTTCGAAGCCAGCCTGGCCTATAGAGTTCCAGGACAAGCTCCAAAGCAACACAGAAACCATCTTAAAAACCAAAAAAATAAATAAAAATTGCTGGATGTAGTGGTTCAAGCATTAATTCCAGCACTCAGGAGGCAGCAGCTGGAACATCTCTGTGAATTCCAGGACAGCCGGGGCTACACAGTAAGACCCTGTCTCAAAAAAGAAAAAATAAATATATATATGTAGACCTTCCTGTCAGTAACTTGACAAATGCTTGCCGGGTGGTGGTGGTGGTGACGCACTCCTTTAATCCCAGCACGCGGGAGGCAGAGTCAGGTGGATCTCTGTGAGTTCAAGACCAGCCTGGTCTACAACAGCTAGTTCCAGGACAGCCTCCAAAAACTCAGAAAAACCCTGTCTCGAAAAACCAAAACAACAAAAAAATAAAAAACCTGTAATTTCTAAGATCCAGTATGCAGCTGGTTGGTAGAGTGACTAGCATGCATGAAGTCCTGGGTTTGATCCCCAGCCCCGCATAAACTTAACATGGTAACAAATATTCTTGGCTATACAACAAATTTGAGGCCAGCCTGAATACACATGACACTCTTGTCTTAAACCAAACAAAAAAAAAAAAAAAATGGGACTAGAGAGATGGCTCAGAGGTTAAGAGCACTGGCTGTTCTTCCAGAGGACCTGAGTTCAATTCCCAGCAAAGACATGGTGGCTCAAAACTATCTACATGCCAGAACACTGTATACATAGTAAAAAAATAAATCTTTTCTACCTATCTACCCTATCTGCTATCTTTCTTTCCTCCTGGTGCTGAGAATCAAACCCAGGAGCCAGGCATGGTGGCGCCCGCTTTTATTCCCAGCACTCAAGAGACAGAGGCAGGAGGAGTTGAGTTCTGTGAGTTCAAGGTCAGTCTTATCAGGGCTATCAGGGAAACCTTATCTCCAAAAACACAGAATGATCACACCCAGGACTTCAGTGTGCTAGCCTAATATTCTGAGCTACACCCTCTGGGCTCAGGGCAGGCAAGGTGCTTGTGTTCCACACACAGTTGTCTGTTAGCTTATTGTTTTAGAGTAGTCTCAGTGGTAGCCCAGTCTGGCCACAAATACAATAAATACCCGTCTGCCTCTGCCAAGGTACTGGGATTGCAGGTGGGCCCACTACACTCTACAGTTTGTCTCAAGAAGGAAGAAACAGCTCAGAGGCCTGATGCTGGCCTACAAGGGTTCAAGGCGGCCACACCCAGCCACCTCATTCCCCTACTTTTTTGCTCTCCCCACACACCTTCCCCAATCCTCACCAGGGCTCTGCTAGGCTCCCACGGAACAAGCCTCCCCTTACTTTCCCAGGCTCGCTCGGATGGCAGCTCCTTCGAGGACTCTTTCCTGACCACAGGCTACATCAGGCCCCTGCCTCCTGCCACAGTATTTCTAGTTCAGTGTATAACGAACACGACATCACATCAGGGACTTTCTTTGCCAATGCTTCCCCAGGGCCCAGAAAAGCACCTGAGCACTCATGCAGTGTTCAATAAATATTTGTTGAGTAAATTTCAGGTGACACTCTCAGATAACTCCTCATGACACACCACAGAGGCAGGTGTGCAGGGCTGTGGCACCATCAGCTTTCCTGAGGAATAAGACAGAGGGGCTGAGGTAGACACTGTCACCGGGCCTGGCACAAAAAGCGGCCAGAACTTCACTCTCACACGGTAGAGGTGTCAGTGCCCTGACTTTGGTTTCCTGGTTTTTTATTTGGTTTGTTTGTTTGTTTGTTTTTGAGACAGAGTCTCTGTACAGAGTTCCTAGTTGGCTGGCCTTGAACTCAGAGACCCACCTGCCTCTGTCTCCTGAGTTCTGGGATTAAATACATTAGTTTTTTGTGTGTTTTTGGTGAAATGGTCTCCATATCTTGCCCAGACTCATCCTAGGCTCAAGTAATCTTGCCTCAGACTCAAACATTTCTACAAGGGTCAAGTATGAAGAGCACTTGCCTAGAGTGTGTTATGTCCCTGGATCTGATACCCAGCGCCTCCAAAAAGAAAGGGAGACGTGGATGTGGTAATAATGCCTGTTACTTGGGAGACAAAGGCAAGAGGTCAAGCCTGGGCTACACACTGGGCCCACCTCTAAAAGGACATCTACTATATGTTGGGGACACTACCAAGCCAGATCTTGTTACCTAGATTGCCAGGGAGTGATGACTCCATCGTCAGGACCCCCGATCAGCACCAGACGGCCCACTCGGAGAAAGTTCTTCCTCCATGCTGCAGAGATGGGGAGAGATGGGGTCAGCCACAGGGCTCAGGCCAGGATAGACCCGGAGGAGGGCACAGGCGGGAGTGGGACCTTACCAGTGGCATTGGGATGGTCTCTCTCCCCGTTGATGAGGGCCAGGAAGCTACTGGCATTGAGGTACAAGTCGTCGTGGTGGGGATCTGAGTACGAACAGCAGTTGGGGAGTCAGCCAGGAGCAGGGTGCAACCTTTAGCATGCTGAGGCCCTGGGATTTGACCCCGAGCACTGCAAAGCTGGACATGCGTGGCCCACACCTGTAAAACTGGCACTCAGGATGTTACATCAGGGGCATCGGTTCAAAGCCATCCTTGGCTACAGAGTTCCAGGGAGCTGGGGGGTGGCTCAGTGGTTAAGAGCACTGGCTATTCTTCCATGACCCAGGTTCAATTCCCAGCACCCACATGGCAGCTCAAACTGTCTGTAGCTCCAGTCCCAGGGGTCCAATGCCCTCTTCCAGCCTCCACAGGGAACAGACACTCATATGGTGCACATATATGCAGAAAAACATCCACACTCAAAAAAAAAAAAAAAAAAGACAGACAATGGGAGGAAGACTAGACGGTTATTCAGAAGATTGGGACTGGAGAGATGACATCTCACTGCTCTCCTGAAGGTCCTGAGTTCAATTCCCAGCACCCACATGGCAACTCACAACTGCCTGATGCCCTCTTCTGGCATGCAAAGTGCCCAAATGCATAAAACACATGAACGAATAAATCTAACAGTGACTTCAGACATCCAGCTATACAACACACAGAGGGTAAAAATAACGGTCAACACGATCAAATGCACTTTTCGAGGTTCTCTGTTGTTCTCTCCTATATAAGTCAGGCTGGTTTCAAACCTGCCTCTGAGTGCTGGGATTAAAGGCGTGTACCAACGCCGGGCATTGGTGGCTCACCCCTTTAATCCCAGCACTCAGGAGGCAGAGGCAGGCGGATCTCTGTGAGTTCGAGCCCAGCCGGGTCTCCAGAGCAAGTGCCGGGACAGGCTCTAAAGCCACAGAGCAACCCTGTCTTTAAAAAAAAAAAAAAAAAAAAAGCATGTGGCAGCACCCTGCCCCTCCCCCCCTCCCCGAAGGCACTTTTATCTGGTACCCTGTATGAGCCAGTGATGGTTACGGGGAGGTGGGCACAGTAGGCCTCACCCTCCACAGCGCCAGGTCCACATGGCCCCACACAGTGCCCCGCTTACCATGCCAGTAGTTGCAGATGGAAAACTCTTGGCCCCAAGGGCTGTAGCAGATCCGATAGAGGTTAGACCGCATGGACGTGGGGAAGAGCCACTTCAAGTAGTCTGTGTCTGGGAGAGAGAGAGAGAGAGAGAGAGAGAGGCAGTGCTAGCGGCCCACCCTCTGCGCCCAGACACGCTGCCGTGCGGTCTACGGGGCCCACAGTGCCCACTCACCTCCATACTGCCCCATCTGTGGAGAGGCCAGGGAGATGAAAGAATCCACGTTGTGCTCATCCGTGACAGACAGCAAGGCACGGCACACCAGGCCCCCTGGAGGCAGAGCGCCAACACCGGAAAGAGGCCTTAGGAGCGGGCACTGTGGTGACCCTCGCCTCTGGTCTCTCAAAATACTGAACTTTAAAAGAATGGGGTCCAAGACTGAGGACACAGCCCTGTGCCAACAAGTCCCGAGGTATCACATGGTAGAGCCAAGATAAGCGTGCAGGCCTCTGGCCAACTGATAGGCTTTTAGCCGCTCTCCGAATCCTTCTAAGAACCATGCAAATGCTCAGGAGAAGACAGATGGGGGGCGCTTACTAGGCCTCTGACCAGGGCTATGCAGTTCTGAAAAGCAAACTCTGGAAAGCACGCCGGCCGGGGTCGAGCTCCCACCGGGCTTGGGAGTCAGTGTGCGTCGCCTACCCTGGGAGTAACAGATGAGATGCACCCCTTCGGGGGCCTTTTCCATGATGGGCACCACGGCTTCTCGGAACCCTTGCACCTGCTCCCACAAGGGCCGCAAGCTCTCTCTGCCATCGAAGAGGTCGAGCACCGTCACCACGGTCCCGGGGTGCGTCTGTGGGAAGGGAG